CTTTCCATCGAACTTTGCCTCGCGACTCGATCGACTGTCCGATGAAATTTATCGCCGTGACTTCTATCTAATCTGATCGATGTCACCGGCTAAACTTTCCGCCCCTGGACAATATATATCGGACCTTCTGACTGTCCATAACTTCCCGCGTCATCCCCTTTACAATTATCCGTGGAAAGTTAGGTTAACGTACTAATAAAAATCCAAAGGAGTGTCCAAAGTCCCGCAACACTAACGGGAGCTCGATCCACGCGATAACCCTGCAATTAAAAATAAATTTAACTTTGTTTCCTACGGCTAGAAGCGACGAGGACAGCCCGGTAATAATTGGTTGTCACAATAACGAATCGTCTGGCCGTTACTAACGAGACACCACGATGTTAATTGTTTCCTCTGTGCATCCGTTTTAGCACGTTTTGCTTTGCGTTCCACGAATCGTGCGAATCTGCCGAACGTTTTTGCCCGCCCTTCGACCACCTAACTTTCACGACACGCCAATCAATTTCAATTGTCATTAGTTTACAACATCAGCTCCATCTGCGATTGATTCGTAGAAACTGAATAACAGGAATGTCGGTATAAAGATAGAAAGTGGTGGTAAAATCTTCTTGGAAACGAACACAGAGGTGACTTTGAAATGTTACTGAAACATTGCTAACATTTAAAAAAATCTAATATTGGCATACCGTGTTACGAATTAACTATCGACTAAGACGGCTATTAATACGTATTTGTATCCGTTGATACGTTGCTTTCTATTACGAGCAATTCGAGGATCCACTCTAAGAGCCGATTCGCGCAAAACGGTTGAATACCTGGGAGGATCTATCGCCGGAGAAAATATAAAAGCGCGTCCATAATTTACCGCGCCGCGACACACGCGGCTTCGGTCGTGACTCGATAATAACTTGTAATGTATATGTTTCTGAAAGCGAAAGCTTCTAATGCAACTGGCAGTCACGCTTGCGTTCGTGCAAAACCGGTGAGAAAGCAGGGACTCGCTTTCCTTGCTGTTTATTAAGACACTACACTATGCTCGATAAACCCTGATTTTTGCAACTTAACCTCTTAACCGCGGGAGTTCGCTAGCCGAAAGCGCACTCTGCACGTGCTACGAGAAACTTGTGAAGACGAGTTAACCCGTCGGGACATTCACGATTGTTAAACGATAATGCGTGCTCAGCGATAGATATTCTTCGATCGATGTGCGAACAATTTAAGTGAAAATTCATTTGAACAATATAATCATCTCCGGTTAAAAGATTAACCGAGTGATTAATCCTATATCGAAAATATCCGATGGGACAAAAGAACTGTGATTTGAAATAAATGTTTTCGGAAATACGAACGCGGTTACTATGCGACTGGGTTAGTATGTTTTTCGATGGTCAGTAATACCGTATTATCTGCTAATGTATTTTTCGGTAGTTAGTCGTAGTGCATTATGCGGCGATAACAAAACGAGGCGATGCGCGAAGCAGTCAACACCGAAAGCATTACGAATCGAGCGTACAAGGTTCTGTATCGAAAGCAGCTCGTGTCAGCAATAACGTTCGAGGTAATCTTCTTCGATCTATTTTTGCGATGTTCGAAATGATCGGGAGCGCGCCAAATACGTACACGCGTCGGGGCCACCTGCAACTTTTACCAGTGCAATTAACTCGATTCACTTCGATTCGTTAATCCATCGTGACCCTTGTGTAAAAGGAAATGCATTTCCAAGTTCAGAAGCAACGCGATTCGCGAGCGACAAATTATTTTTAACCAAGAAACTGTTCTGGTACGTTTTGTTTACACGAGTTTTTATGTTTCTAGGAATCAAGTGCGGCCGAAACAACGATCAAGGTCGACCACTGAAGGACGGATTAATCGTTAGCTTCCTATTTCCGTTCACTGATTTATCTAATTTTCTCGACGCGATGGTCTTGTTTTCATGAAACGTGTTGCTTTTCAGCTGGTATCGTGGTATATCCTCTGCATGGTAATATCGTGCACGGTCCATAAATAGTGTTCAATGAGATTACGGGAACACGTCTCTATGGCGTAGCGGGAGTATCTTTTAATCAGCCAGCGCGAATTTCTACGCAAAATCGGGGGCAGAACGGAGGTAGTTCATTAGAGAGCTGCAGCAAGAGACGCAACCTCGTCGAAATCGAATCAAACGTTGAAATTGAAAAGAGTAACGAGAACTACAAAAACGATCAGAACTGAAAATAACCTCATCGAAATGGAGAAAATCCTTGCGGTGGAGAAAAAGAAAAAGTGATATCGGGGATGAAGAGAGAGAGTGAAACAAACGCGCAGCAGACGAAAAAAGAGCTATAGGCTCCATCTACACGCCCGAGAGATCCGAAAGGAAGAGAAAAATGCGAGAATTCGTTCGACCGGCGCGAACTGAAGATAGCTTCAGATCGCGAAAAAGAGAACGTAAACAAACTGTACGGACACGTGACAAGGTAACGCGATCGAGCGATAGGTACGATGTACAATAAATTACAGTGATTAAGTAAGTGCTACCTCTCGAGCAGCTGATATTTCAAGGCGATAAGAAAAGAAAGCAAAGGAATAGATATATATACGATAAAGATTTCGTGACGCGCTCCTGCCGTGCGCTATTGTTTATTGTCCACATTGCAAAGATAACCGAAAGAAGAGTTCCCTTTCACTTGCACTCGCGTCCTGGATAAAGAGGATCCTCCGATCATGAGCAGAGAAAACAATGGATTCTACGTCGGTGTTGTTGAATTTCCACATCGATGATGTGTCGTAAAGAAAAAATAAAACATACTTATTTAAGCAAGGACTCAATGGATGACGTCGATTTCTACGTAAAATATTACGTATGTAAGAAATATCGCGGAAAAGAAACAAGCGGTTGGTACACTTACGGGATCGAGAAGTGATGCGTTAGCGTTTGCTAACCCAGATAAACTTTCTTCTTCGGATCTAACAGGTTATGAAAATGAAATCGCAAGAAGATAACTGTGCTTCTGTAATATGTATACACAAGTGTCGAATTACCACGAGCGGCGTAACGCGGGCTAAGAAAAGTGAACGTCAGAGGAAACGAACGTGTTAGCCGCGGAGAGGGAGACTAGACGGAGAGGAATAGAGAGAGGAGAGAGAAAAATCACGATCCGTTCCACTCGTTTGCACCACGAGTAGCAGTGGAGGGAATAGAAGAACATCCTGTCGTGGAAATTCACGTCCCCGGACGGAAGTTCGAAGGAGACCACGAACGAGATATGCGCCGATCGACAGCTGCGCGAATTGCTCGCACGACACGCACGCGATAATTCGTGCCGGAATATAGAATCACCAGATCTGCGCAATTTGTCCGACGCAACGTGCGTTCGCGCGCCAACCGTCATCTATAGTAAACCAATAACCGAATGGCAATTAATCGACTTCACTACCCGTTCGTAAGCGGTAGCCGTGCGTATTGGATGCTTTAGCGTCACCCAAATATCATTGCGTACGTTCGCGAGAGATGAGATCGAGCGATTTGCATAATGAAAAATTAAATGTACAAACGTTAGAAAATAAACAGTGTTGCTAGTTATATCTTTGGAAACCAACAAGATTCGGGCATTGGATAGAAATGTTCATCGAAAAGAAAAAAAGGAATAAAAGAGAAAGTTTGCCACATTGTAGAACAAAATTTAGTGCTTTCACTTGATATCGTGCAATAGGTTCTATGATATGCAAAGTTGCAAGGTTCAATGAATTTTTCTAGAGCATTCCAATTCAACTTTTTAATAATGTACATTTTCAAATTTAATGTTTTTTTAATTCGAATTAGTGTGTTTCAATTAGAAACTCGACAAATTTTAGCTAGCGATTACGAGTGATCTACGGATTCGAATCTCGTCACACTGTGTTTATCTTCCGGGTGAATTTTCGAGACAAAGAATGCAAAGGGAGGAATAAAGTGCACCGGCATCGTTGTGGCCTGTCTGGAATGCGTACTATTCCTGGAGATTCTTGAGGGACTCGTTGCTTGTGCTTGCGAAAAACTTCGTTCTTGCTTACTCTCTATTTCAATATCCAATAAAATACGACAATGTTATCAAAAATATTTTTCATGCAAAGAGAAAATAGTTGTGATAAAGGTTCTCAACGAAAACAACATTCGTTATATTCCTAACTTAATGTAATCATTAAAAATCAGTCATAACTGATATCTGTAAATTCGTTTCTAAATATAATGATAAAATATAATGAAAATGAAATGATATTATAATGACTAAAAAAAAAAAAAAGCACTCGATCCTGCCAGGATTCGAACCTGGAATCTTCTGATCCGTAGTCAGACGCGTTATCCGTTGCGCCACAGGACCAACTAGTTAAAGTATTATTAAATTCATTACAAGTAATACACATACAAATCGTTTGTTACAAATATCTTGAACAAATCGATATATTGCTTAAATACTAATAAATATCTTCTTATTCTATATAATTTCCCTAAGATTATTCTATATGATAACAAGAAAGAGAAATTTTGTTCATTTTATATCACAAAATACTTTCTTAAAATCTTATTGAGGATGACTTCATTAACAGAGAACAAAATGACGTAAAAATAGTTCTTTCATTGATTAAATATTTATGACATTGCGTAAATGACAGTTAACCCCTGACATTTTGTATTAACTAACGTTAAGCAATGTTCATAAACACCAAGGAAAGACATTAACGAATCAACGAGCAAGAAATTCGAATCGCGTGAAAATATTACACGACACTTAATGCCATCGTGACGGAATATTGACTCACCGTAGCAAACAGAAACGAGCGTTAGAATTAAAAAATATCGCACGCACGACAGTCCCTACAATCGGGGATTGAGAATGTAAACGGTGCACGTTCAAACATGCACGACACAGAACTCAGACTTTCGAAACAATACACAACTCGTGACACTTCCGTGAACAATAATAATCAACACTATCAAACGATCTTTCTTTCTAATGTTCCTTCGTTTTGGAACAATCAGCAATACACACCCAAGAAAGAGATATTCCTCCGTTGTTCATGTTAATACGGGTGGTAGGCATTCGATGTTAGAAAGTAAAATATTCTGATGTACGAATAACCGAAAAATCACTTAATTCAACGAGTAACGTCAATGTCACCCCGCCACTGTCCATCGAAAATAGGGTGTCGATCCGGTCGGAGAAGTTCAAAAAAATCGCGTATCGCTGTTTGCCACGAATAAATCATCATTCTTCACTCACCCTTCGTAGTTAGATCGGTCACGTGAACCACATAACCGCGCGCGTCCCGTTCAAAAACTCAAAAACACGAGCGAAACACGCTGAGAGCTGTCACGAACTATCGTTACACTCGCCATTTTGGTTTACACTGACACTCAGGAACGAACAGCGAGGTGTTTTACCGTAAATACGCATGCGCGCGACAGGTGGCTGCCCGGGAGTTGAATACCGTCTGCAATGCATCGCCGATATTCGAACAGTTATATACATCCTTAAACATTTCTCGTAAATAACCTGATTGTTATTATGTTATTACAAAAGTGCAAAATCATGTCATTTCAATAAGTCATCGCACAGATATTTATTAAGTATTACGAAATATGAGTGGATTTTATATCCGAGCAATCAACTGTAATTACCCGTTGTCTCTACTTGATCGGTAGTTGGTAAATTGTTACCTTACGTACACACCTTAGAACCAACTGTTACATCATGGTTGAGGTATAGGAAAAACATTAGAACAAGAACTATAGAATCCCTTATCATTTCCAGCATTACCGATTCAGCATAGAATGAAATTACAATATTAATAAGAAAGCACGCACAATAAGCTTGTCAACTTAGGGATCTGTCATACATATAGCTATTTAGAACTAAACGCATGCATCCAGCAACATCGAACAATGTCCTCTAAACAAAATCTAGAATAAAAAATCTAAATAAACCTGTAAAGAAAATACTTAAATCTAACAGAAAATGGATTAGAAATAACAAAAGTCAAACAAATGGAATAAAGATCCCAATGATGAGGCACAAACAAACCAACAATGGAATAAAAATAAATTCTTCCAAATCATATTATAATAATAAACCATTAAATAATCTAAAAGATTATTATTAAATTATTTGAGAGGAGGGGCGAAAGTGATCTGAGTTGAGTTGATTAAACAGTGACTATCAGTTAGCCTAGGATTTAGCCAATAACCATCAACCATATCAAGTCCACTTCTGACAAATGCGAACAAAATCTTATTGTAACTTGCTCGAGGTCAAGCTGACGAATGATTCGATCACAGCTTGCGTGATTCTTTTATAGACAGCGATTAGCCGAATATCTACGAAAATTCTCGATTGTTACCGATTCCGCTGATAATCATTTTTTTTTATAATGGCCAATAATTCATTAATCCTTTTAATTTTTTTCGAAAATTTATACCTTTATCAATTTATTATTAACAATAAACCAAATAAATTATACAATTTTTGTTAATCAAAAGTATATTTATGCTTTCGTCATATAATTTTGATAGAGCACATAGTTCTTAATTTATATTACTTGTTATTTCTTTTGATTCTGTTTAAAAACGTTATTGCTCAGACGTTTAACAGAATTTAGAAGTGCTTTATTATATATGAATTGTATAGTCACTTTTTATAAATCAAAATTCATTTTTATCGTAAGAGCGGAATGCTTTATTTGAATTTTTTGTAGTTCCCACCATACACTATATCAATTTCAATATTCTGTCGGCAACGTAGTGGGTGACACAGAAATGATAAGAGAGCGCTAGTGTTCAGAAACACATCATGGAAAAAATACACGCAATGTTAGGTACATTCTATACTTCATTAGTTTTTTGACTTGTTGCACGATCGGTATTTCAGAACATGACATACACGTCAAATTTCATATTGTGATCTTATATCTCATCTATGGTAACAAGTACTTTATTCAAAACATTTGTATTATTTTCAAAATGATGACAAGTAGCAAAATGATTAAATAATTCGCCCACGTTCCATATTAACAAAATTTGTCTTATTAGCTTCAAAACTAATACAACTTTTTTCAATTTCCAAAAAACATTTGGCCCATGAGGGGATCGAACCCGCGACCTTCGCGTTATTAGCACGATGCTCTAACCAACTGAGCTAATGGGCCTTACTGCCACATCCTGGATTCATATGAGAACTCGATGTTCAACAACCGTAGGAAAGGAGAGGAGAGAGTGGGAGAGAGGAGAGGAGAGAGTGGAGAGTGGGGAAAAAATTAGAAATAAAACTACTTAAATCAATCTAACTTGTCACATTACAGCTCCTTGAAAAAAGTATTTTGGCTTTTTTCGTTAAAACATTATTTGAAACGTTAGACAATAAAGAAATTTTTCTATAAAGAAAGGGTCGTGAACCCTATATTGATTTCATTCTTAGAAGCAATAAGTAACGATCAATAGACTGTCGTCTCTTACGTACATCAGGCAATCTAACAATAGTTCTACATTGCGAATGAAACTTTTATCGATGCAGCGAGAGGGAAAATCTCGAAACCTCGAGGTCAAGACCGAATTTCATGTTCCATAGGGAAATTGTAACTTACTGAATGATTAATTGTATAGACTCACTTCGACTAATCATTCCATATACTCTTCGCACTCCTTATCTATGTAAAACCATGAAATTAGAAACCTCTAGGAAGCGAACATACTACGAAACGAATTAAAAGAGAATTTTAAGCATTCCATTCACATGTACAAAACAAGTTAAATGCATAATAACTTAAATTAGATGCAAGTTACTAATGAGCTTAAATATACTCGCATGAATACGAAGTATGAATACAAAAATATATTTCCATAATTATTACTACTACAATACGTATAAAACATCTTACTCTATCATTAAAGGAAAAGAAGAAGTTCCTGATGCATGTATACATAAGCAAATATATATACATCATGTAATTGAAGCATATACATATATCCGATAAAATGAACCACAGTGGTTCTTCGTGTTATACAATCGGAACGACGAGTGGCAAAAATAACAAAGAAGTTGACTTTCATTCGTTGACTAGAACCAGATGTTTTATGTCCCAATGGAAAATCGATAAATTGGTGCATTGACCCATTGTCTATAGTCAGAAGAAACGTAAGACTAGTAACAAAATTGAACTTTCAACTTGAAAAATTGTAATCGACGATCGTGATTATAAATTCCATTGCGCAAATATAGAAATTAATCTATTTAACTATGACATCGCAATGCTAATTGAAATACATGCACCGCAAATACATCTGAGTATAAACTCGAGCTTCATTATCCCCACTTTTTTCCCTTTCTTTTTTTATCTTATCTAGTATTCTTTATCTATAGAACGAGATATTCACAATTACGAGCTCCTGTTGTAATTCTGATTTCGGACACTTACACGATTTTGTTAAAAATTGTTATTTTGAATTTAGTTTTTCAGCATAAAACTAGTTATTACAAATTATATTCACAAAATATAATTACTGTAATATAACTAAATGCGTTTCTTAACACATGATCGAGACGTAAAAAAGTCAATAGTCGCGTATAAAAACACATTAAATTTTTTCTCTTTACAAAGCAGAAATCAATTTTTATGCCGAAGGATCAAATACAAATGTTTCGATTAATTAGAAAGGTGATATCCGAAGGAAAGCGGTTGAAAAGTTTTCCTGATAAATTTAAGTATATACAGTTACGAACCAAGCTTATACGTGTAGCATGGATATCACAAAGCGAAAGTGATTGCGTAAATTATATATGAAAGTTGATATCGTGAGCGAGTGCAGTATACAAAGTGTCTGCACAGTTTTGTGCGAGAGATGCTGTAGGTACACCAGCGAAAGCGACGCACGTGTTACCGTTATATTTTTGAACGGTTCCTTCCATTTTTTGCACTCCCATTATCGTACTTTCATTGGAGAAACTTATCGAGTTGAGGGTCATCGTGACAGTCGTGTGTTTTTTTACCGGTGAGCTGAAAATGGAAAACAGAAAGTCATCGATGGTCCAAACTGAAATTGATTCACCGTCAGTGAAAAGGTAATTTCGGAAGAAGAAAGAACCAAAAGAACCGATTGTGTACGCGCGAGATCGAGCTACTACGTCGTTTAAATTGACATTCCGAGAACGTTGTGTCGTCGCGGAAACAATACGAGTTTGTTTTTATAAAAGAGTTCCATCGACAAAGGTGATCCTTTCAGTGCGTGTTCCACCTTATTTTCATTTGATTCTTTTTCCTTAATAAATTCTTCGACGCAATCGTCATATCCGAATCAAAGAAACTGTAACGTATATTCGTCGAAAGTGTGCAATACTGACCTAAATGTAGAATAAACAATATTTAGTTCACAGAAAGATTTACTTTGTAATAATAATACGTGACAAATTTGACAACATCCTTTTTTAATATTACCACGGGCTTCCGGAAATCCTCAACACGACCGTATGCGTTTCCAACTGCTATTCTGTTCGATAATTATGATCATCCTATAGCCAGCGATTGGCCGATAACAGTGCAAACATTCTCCTTGGTATTGGTCAGAGAAACGTTATAGATAAAGATGGGTGGTTAGCTTCTTGTTAGTCGCGGTTTGAACTCGAACAACGGCGGTTCGTAACTCATCATTGTGTTTCATCTAAATTTTACGCTTTTGTCCTAGGATTTTACTTTTACAATTAAAACGGTTTGCCGTGTGTTGGAGAATATTAACTCAATTAACATTTAGTTTTTCACATTTCTCTGATAAATAATTTCATATACAAAACACAACCAACACAAGCAGATTAAATATACGTATGTATGATATACTTTATCAATGAGTTTTCTTATTTTGCCAACGCATTATATCATATTATCATGGCTTTCCACAATCTTGCCATTATATTAGATTTATCTTCGAAAAATATAAAAAAGGTACTGATAAACTTTATATAGATAAATAGAAGTAACAAACTTATTTTTGTTATACTATATTTATTATGTATATATTAGATATGATTATTTTTATTATGTATATATTAGTTATGATTATTTTAGTTATGTATATATTTTATATTATATCATATTTTTTATCATATTTTTTGTTATGTATATATTAAATATGATTATTCATCAAAGATAATTTTATCAAGTGTTCTGTTATCTGTTAGCTGATTATCAATTAAAATTGTTTTCCAATTGTAAATATCGAATTCTTTTCAGTTTGTATTTATTTTTACATAATCATCGTTTTAAAAGCATTGTTTCTATATATGTACTTCTCGCCTCTCGTTTATTAAGGTTCGCTTACAATATAAAATAACCCGTTTATTAAACACTGTTTGCACTAAAACGAAAAAATTAATTTCTGACTAAAAACTTTATCTAATAAACATATGTACATAATATAACAAGCATATTAGCATACTGTAAAATTTCATCATGTAATACTAGGAAATATTACATAAAACCAGTTTTGTCAATAATTTATTTTTATCTAATGTAAATTTGACACTTCGACATTTTACCTTTTATACGATATGTATATCTTCGAAATTCAGTTCGTAATGCGCATTATATGTAATTATTCGATCTCGTGGATCGTTTTAAACATACCAGTAACGTACTTTTATTTTACAACTGTTAAAATCTCAAATACGAAAAACTTTACACATTATTGAAAAATGTTTACCTTAAATGCATTTATTGTTACATAGAAATAATTTTTACCTTTGTTCATTGATTGCACTTCTTATAGGGCAGTATTTCAAGAAATCATGGTGACGGCGTATGGAGGTGTATTGGTCGTGGCAGATGTGCTATTGGTTCTTCTGAAGATTCTTTATTACATCGGTGAAGGAATATATAGATTATTCGTCCCGGTTGAAGAGAAGAGTGTAGCTGATGAAATTGTCTTGGTATTTGACAAATACAATATCTCTTTTTTTAAGATTGTTTTCTTGTTTTTAAATTATTTGTAATTCTTTAAATATTAAACTTGGAAAATACTCGATTCAACTTATGAAAATAAAAAGACAAAACGATCAATGTTTCCGAATAATCGAGTTTATACATAAAGTATATGTAATCAAGTAAAAAATTACATAAATTCTTTGTTTATGATTTCATTCCATTGTATCTCTCTAAAATCATATTTGTACAATAACTGCATATTACGATATTCGTTCGAATTCATGCAAATAATTTGTATAACATTCAAATTTGTGACACGCTTCTTTTATGCAGATAACAGGCGCTGGTCGCGGAATTGGTAAAGAATTGGCTTTGAAATATGCGTCTCTGGGAGCAATCGTTGTTTGCTGGGACTTGAATCAAGAGGGAAATGATGAAACCGTGAATGAAATTAATAGGATTAGCGCAAGTAAAGCATACGGATACGTGTATGTAAAAGTCTTATGACATTTTCTGATTTAATATTAATTATCAGAAAATGCGTTGAAAGTGCAATTTCTGTCATTATCGTATCGTTACGCAATCCGTAGATGTGACGTATCGAACAGGGAAGAAGTTTTTAAAGCAGCTGAAAAGGTGAGAGAAGAAGTTGGCAATGTGACGATCTTAATTAACAATGCGGGCATAATGCCCTGTCATGCTTTTCTCGATCACACACCTGAGGAAATTAAACGAATATTTGATATCAACGTGTTGGCACATTGTTGGGTAATTCATTGTACACATTTTTTTTTTTTTTTTATAAAAAGAGGGTTCCATTTATCTCATTTGAACTAAATAAATTTTCTATAGACCGTTCAAGCTTTCTTACCTAGCATGATTCAGAAAAATTATGGTCATATCGTTGCACTTTCGTCGATGACTGGAATTATCGGTGTGGCCAACCTAGTCCCTTACTGCGCTTCAAAGTTTGCAGTAAGAGGTAAAAATTATGTTTTTGCTTTTTTTATCAACCCGCGCTTGGGATATATAAACTTCCTGAATCTTTGCATCATAATTTTCTGTAGGATTCATGGAGGCTTTGAACGAAGAACTTCGAATATTAAATAAAGAAAAAACATCAAATATCAATTTTACAACAATTTATCCATACGTAGTAAATACGGGACTTTGCAAAAATCCAAAATTCAGGTAAAATATCTCGTATAACATTACGTAAAAAACTAATTAACTTAATAACACAAAATTTTTAATGTAAATTTATTTATTAATCTAACAAGATTCATTATCTACGAATTTATCTTACGTTTTAATATACGACTGATTATTATCCGATTATTTAATATCATTTACATAATATATTTACATGCAGACTCGATTATTGGACTAGAGGTATAGAAATTCATATAATAAAATTATTTTTTACTAATCAAATATAACGCTACTCGTAAAATAAAATTTAAAACTAAGAAACAACTAATGTATATAATGATATTTGAACTACTTTTATCTTTATTAGGTTCCCAGATCATTTGGGGATGGTTTCACCAAAAGAAGCAGTTGCTAAAATAGTTCAAGCGCAGCGGCGAAACGACAAGGAAATAAGCATTCCCACCTATTGGTTTCATATTAATAAGATTATAAGGTACGTAACATACTATCACAGATTTTTTATCGTTTTGTAACATTTTTTTCTGATTTCAGATGTACTCCACCTTCATGCATGAAACAACTAGTAGACTTTGTGGATACTAATTTATATCCAGACAGTTAACGAATATCTACTATTCTTGTAACAAAATATTAAAAAAAAATTTGGTGTCTTTGATTTACAATGATTGTTCATAAAAAGAAAAAGAAATATCTTATGTTTATCTATTTATACTTTTGATTGATTTTTATAATTATTGCCCACAAAGTTGTAGATAACTTTAGAAGATTTTTAGAAGATTAGTTATTGTTAATCATTTGTAAGAGTAATTATGTAATAATTAAAATACAAATAAGAAAATATTTCTTGATCTTCGTGTAAATCCATATTTACATGTTCTTTTTCTGACAACTAATAATAATAAAATAAATAAATTAATAAAACTTCAATTATATTCATTATTTCATATGCATAAAAACTATATTTAATTATTAATATACAAATAACAATAATTATTAATATATACATAAACGAAACATTATAAATTTTATTTCGTGTAAACTCTTTGGAATTTTGAATAACAACTTCCTTTAATCGCTTAAATGTTTGTAGCATTCACGGGATAATCTAACGCACTGTCGTTACTCCATCCGTGACTGTTACAGGTACATGATTTGGAAAGTTTTAATTTTGAATATAATTTTCCTTATCTTTAGCAATGACTAATAGTATGTTTTTATTTCTCTTATTCTACATTTGTGTACTAACTACCAATTTATAAAAGAAAGGTATATTTTGGTCGAATATTTTCCAATTTTCTGAACTTTTAATGGGTTAATTACAATCTGTTTTTCAATATATTTATATACAATATAATTTAACGTGATATTTTGATTAACTCTCTAATGCATTTTTGAAAATTTCATCTAACTTAGTATATCCTTTTAAACCTACTTTAGCACCAGCTACTTGACAACCAAAAGTTACAGCTGCTTGTAAAATATTTTGTGTAATAAATTCTGTATGACTACATTCTATGCTTTCAATGTTATAGTTCCTTTTAATATTTTGTCTTATTTTCACATCTTTCTGTAAACTATTTGTTTCATTTGGATCTGACTTTCTTTTTCTAATAAATTCCAATTTTGCTTTATTTAAAAAATGCAGTACTGCAGCATTGAAAGTATCTCCTGCACCTAAGGTGTCCACAACCCTCTGTGGTGAAAATGCAGGAGATTGTACTATAATATTATCTGGAGTTCTTGCCATAGCCCCTCTGTCACCCCAAGCACATATAAGAGTTGCTCTAGAAAAAAAATTTATTTCATAATATATTAATTTTGTAAATAGATATTTAAGGTATACCTATTACAGAGATTCATACCCAGATTTGGCATCTTCACTAATGTTTTTCAATGTTTCGCTCATGTTATCATGCCCTCTACTCTGAGCAAAATCTTTAGATATAAATGTTACATCAACATAAGGTAGTAGATCTAACAGCTCTTGTTTTGGACATTCTAATTCTACACTAATCGTAATTGGCACTTGATTTGCATCTATTTCTTTGCTGTCTGTATCTTGACTGTAATTCAACATGTTATTATAATTCTCCACGCACTGCATCATAGATAATACTTCACTTAAATTTCTACCCTCAAAGTGAATCCAACTATAATCTTCTAAATGTAATTGTTCAAAATTCTTCAATGTTAACTCTGGCAGATTTGGATTATGATGTAAAATTGTGCGAGTACCAGAACTTAAACTCAAAATAACAGTAGATGTTGGACATCCTATATTTTCTGCCATAGGGCAATGAGAATAATCTATATTGTAATTTTGCATATCATTTTGCAAAAAATTTAAATGTTCTTCAGCACTTAAAGTACCAAAAAATTCACAAGAACTTCCCAATTGAGAAAGAACTGTACAAGTATTAGATGCATTACCTCCTCTTTGCCATCTACATTCTACAGACCTGTAAATCATATAAAAAACTAAGCAACTTTCATTGTCAAAATTATCACATATAAAATTATTAATTTAATAAAAATATATTCTTATTTTTTACAAAGAATAATTAAAAATATCGATTAATAATGATAACAATATTGCACGTCAATCAAAAACACATTGTTTACACGTTTATAAATGTCAGTTGATCAATGTAAATAACGAACTAAGGATAACACTGCGCAATCGCGTATGGGATATCATTTACCTTTGATCAGAATCTTCCGTAGGAAATTGTTTACACGTTTGTACAATGTCTAGACAAGCTAATCCAACACAAAGAATCTTTTGTTGGTTCGACTCCATTGATGAAGACGTACCAATAATTTTCTCATAAAAACTCGAAATCATTTCACTTAATAATTGTGAATACACAAGTCACATTACGTTTCTTCTACTCCAGAGATGATAGAATTATGATCATCTAACATATGTACAAATACATTTTATGATTTGATAACAAGCTATATTTTTCGTTTAATCCAAACAATTTTTTCTTTATCATCTGTCGGATTAGGTGAAGTAAGTACATATGTATCGATTAAATCTACTTGACCCTTGACACTTTGAGCAAAAGTATGTTGATAACTTTTAAACCTACCTATTTTTATGCTTACAGTGATACTGAAATTCAGCAGTTGTAGAGCAAATTAAATATACTTGTACAAACTGTATTGATTTCTTTAAGATTTCGTTTATGTAATACATTCAAAGGTTTTCTTTTACATATGTAAGCGTAACTTATGAAGAATGGAATAATATTATTAAAGTATAGATTTCTATTTCGTTAATTTTACATATGAAGCAACACTTTTTACAATATACATTAATAGATTAATACATTATATTTGAAAATTATATGGACACAATCTAGTATTAATATACTAGAATCATTAATGCAAAATAAAAAAAAAACCTTCAAGTTCCCGCTTCGTCGATATGAGACGATTATAGCGCTTAGAGAACAACGAAAAATGCCAAGATGGCAACGAAAACGATTTTGTTGAATATTAAGACAGCGTTTACTGTTTATCAACTGAATTTTTAAATACAATATTTAAAAAATTTCGTATATAGAAAGATATAAAATTTTTGTTAAATAAGTAGAATCATTGTCTGTCTCTTAAGTAGGCTAAATCCATGCAGAGAACACATATTAACTAACATATCGAAGCTTCGCCTGATTATTCTTCGACAACTCTTTTTTGAATAATTATTGTTTATATTTAGCTTTAGATAATTTAGAATTAAATACAATGGATCCTCGAATACATAGAAGAACAGAACAAGAAAAAGGACCGGGCGATTTGGTCAGTGCTTTAACCTTTCAAATTATAATTTCCCAAACGCATTTTATGAATACAAAAAGAGCATTTACAATACATAGGAATTTTTTATATAATCACTATGATAATTAAACAAATATTTATTATTATTATTATTTGTAAGAGATGTCAGAAAAGGACAAATTCATAATTATACCATTCGTATCATCTTTGCTATATAAAAAAGAAATATATCAATATTTTGATTTGCATTATATCTTACAGATAGTTGAATGGTTAAATGAGGCTTCCCAAAATCTAAGAGAAGATGTAAAAGTCACAAATTTATGTAAAGTTCAAGAAATCTTAATAAACAAAGAACCTCAATTACTTCCATTATATTTGGACGAAACATTACAATTTTCTTTAGATAGAAATGCAGAAGTTAAGAAAACAGTTACAGGTTTCATAGAAGAAGCTGGGTAATAATCATTGTTGGAACTTATGATAAAACACTTTCATTATTAATAAAATAATTATATTTTATTTTCAGGGTAAAACAACCAGAAATAATTCCACGTGTAGTTCAAGTACTTTTAAGATTAGTTTCTGACGAATCATCAGCTGTTGCTAAAAGGGCTCTTAGAGCTAGTGGGAGAATATTGAGAGCAGCATTAAAATGGATATCCAGTGCTACTACTGTTACACCAGAGATGGAAGTAGCATGGAATCAACTTAGTACTCTTAAAGTTCAAATTATAAATATGATCGATAGTGATAATGATGGGTAAAAAGATTCTTTAATTCTTATTTTTATACATGTTAATTAAGTAATAATTTCTAAATTTTTTTACATATAGAATTAGAACACAAGCTGTAAAATTTCTCGAAGGTGTTGTTCTAATACAAACATACCCAGATCCAGATATTCCAAAAAAACCAGATGATTTTTCATTGGAAGATATTCCACTAACATTAAAAATAGCACGTAGACGAAAATTAGAGGAAGAGGCAAATGATGTAATGGATTTGTTAATTAAATTTCATGGTTCTCCACATGTTAGCAGTGTCAATTTAATGACATGCATGGGATCTTTAGCATTGATTGCTAAAACAAGACCTCAATTTATGTCAGGTGTAATACAAGGTACACAAACCTTTCAGCAGAACTACTTAGTCATATTAATTATATAATTAAAAGGCATCAATTTGTAGCTTTACAAAGATTACAACATGATCTACCACCCACATTATCTGATTCTCAAGTAACTAGTGTGCAAAAGCAATTAAAATTAACCCTGTTAGGATTAATGAAACATCCAGCTAGTATAGAATTTGCATCTACAATAGCTAAACAATTAACACAATTGGGAGCAAAAGAACAAGAAATTCTTAAAGCTTATCCAAAACCAGAGGAAATTCGACGTATGAAAAAACGTCAACAAGTAAATGTGTAATCAACTTTTATTATAAAATTTAATAATAGCTCCATGTTAGAAATTTATATGATTTTTAGGAGGCAGCTGCATCTTCTGCTGCAAAACGCGTTAAAATTGAAGCTCCTGTAATACCAGATGAACCAGAAATTGTGTCTAACGTAGTGCCCACCTCAAAATTACCAGAATTGATTGAACTTTCAGAAAGCTTTATTGCGGAAAGATTAAGCGTAGAAATTGCTACAGATTTAGTAATGGATAGCATGGTAAGTAAAGTTCTACATAGTAATCATTGGCATTTTTATTATTTCCTTTTGTTTTTTTTTATATTAAAAACATTCCATTAACAGGCATGGGTTCCTGACACAATGACAACCATCTTTCAAAGAGAATATCTGCCTACTTCCACTACTGATATAAATATTCAGCGACAAACGATTGCTAAATTATTAGCATCACAAATAAAACAAGCTAAAACAAAGAAAAAAAAAGATGCCAAGGATGAAGATGCTGTAATGGAAGATTTAGTAAAAAATCCTACTATTAGTGTAGCAGAAGCGAAACGAGAACGTAAACGTGAAAAGGACAGAGAAAAAGAGAAAGAAGCAAAAGCTTCTTTAGAAGCACATGAAAAGTCACTAGCAAAAGCAAGAACGCGTTTAAAAGCGTTAAAATTATCTGAAGTTACAAAACCATTGTCAAAAGAAGTAAAAGAAAAGATGTTACTGATGGCTGTAAATCGAATTTTACTTTCTGAAAAAACAGCAGTATTTGGTGGTGTGGCAGCCATAAGGTAGATTACTTTATTAATTGTTTATTTGTTTGAAAATATCACTGAGATAAAAAATTGTATTTATTACGTTTTAGATCAAAAATTTTAACCACTCTAGCTGCAACATTTAATCCATATATTAAAGAAGCAGTGTTACGTTATATTACTGATGATATGAGAAATCGTTTAGACTTAGCTTTAGGTTGGTTGTATGAAGAATATGCATTACTTCAAGGTTTTCAAAGACGAACTACGTTATGTACAAAGCCTCAAGAAGCTCCGCATCAAGCTTACAACTTTTTGTTATGTACTTTAGTATCCGCAATAGATTTAGTTCAAGGCAAAGATCGCGACACATTGCTATATAGGTAACAACTGTTTGCTGTGAAATATTTAATAACAAAATACATAACATTAACTTTTAATGCACTTTAAAAAGGCTGTACTTGGAAGCTCCTTTAATCACTGAAGATGCTGTTGAAGCTTTAAAAATGGTATCTTCTGATGAAACAAGAGGATTAGTGCCATTGCAGTTGTTAAAAGAAATGGTTGTTCGTCGACCAACAAAACAATTAGTTTTCCTAAATGTATTATTATGTCATACTGGCCATGAAAATAATACTGTAAGTTGTAATTATATAGCTCTTCACGATCCAAATAACATTCGACGTTTTATCCCAACTGATTCATATTTAATAACATACTTAGTAATGCTATTTAATGTTTGACACTATTTCTGTATACTCGTGACCAATAATGTATTTATATTGACATATCTATGTGAAATAAAATTACAATATAAAGAGATATTTTTATATATTAAAGTTAAAATGGATTGAAAAAATATGATGTCGAGTTAACACAGGATCGGGAAGGGTTTATCATATAATACAAATATTTTATATATATTAAACTTTTTAAATTTCTGTTCATAAATAGATAAGGGAAGCTGCTATACAATTAGTATGTCAGCTATATAGCCGTCCCGAATTGAGTAAACTCATTGAAGAGTACGCGGTTCTTTATTTAGGTTTCCTACGACTTCATACACCACCCGAAATCGTCTTCGGACAAGATCGAGGTAGGCCACAAGTAGAGACCCAATGGACTGAATCAACTACAAGAGCTTGCCTTGGATTATATCTTGCTCTGTTGAGTGAACATCAAGATTTAATTCATGAGTAAGTTATTTTCTTAATAAATACATTTAATAAATACAAATTTCTATTATCGCTGTTTTCTTAGATTGGCGAGAGTTTATACATCCATGAGTCCAGATGTAAAACGTATGGTCCTTAGATTAGTAGAAGGACCTGTAAGATCTTTGGGAATGGGCAGCCCACAATTACTGGCATTAGTTGAAAATTGCCCTAAAGGCGCTGAGACACTAGTTACAAGAATTATTCATATCCTTACAGAAAAATGTATTATAATCTACTGTATAATTTTTTCACACTTTTTTAACGTTTATTTAATATTCGACATTCATAACGTTGTCTTCACTTTCAGCTGCACCAAGCGTAGAATTAGTAGCAAGGGTGCGAGAACTTTATCAAACTAGAGTTTCAGACGTTCGATTTTTAATACCAGTTCTAAACGGTTTAACAAAGAAAGAAGTTATAGCTGCTCTTCCAAAACTCATAAAGTTAAATCCTATTGTAGTTAAAGAGGTAAATGATATGAGATAATATTATACAAATTGCAAATAATGTTATATCACATTACAATGATTCTTTTCATAGGTATTTAACAGACTGTTAGGCACTCACAATAATGAAAGTGGTGTACCTCATACATCTCCTATTACACCTGCTGAATTATTAATTGCTTTACATAATATAGATCCAAGCAAAGCAGAATTAAAGACAATTATAAAAGGTATAACATATAAAACTTTTTTATAATTCATTAAAAAAAATTTTTTTTTCAATTCATTATCCAAATTTTATATTTAATAATATCAATTTATAGCCACGTCTCTATGTTTTGCGGAAAAACAAATATATACGCAAGAAACTGTAGCTGTTGTAATGCAACATCTTATGGAGATGACACCGCTTCCCACATTATTGATGCGAACAGTGATACAAAGTTTGGCATTATATCCCAGGTTAAGTGGATTTGTTATGAATATACTTCAACGGTTAATTCTTAAGCAAGTTTGGAAACAGCCAAAAGTTTGGGAAGGTTTTGTAAAATGTTGTGAGCGTACGCAACCGCAAAGTTTTGCGGTTATATTACAACTTCCTCCAGCACAATTGGCCGAAGCGTTAAAAATGGCAAGCAATTTACGAGCACCCTTATTAGCACATGTCGAAGCCTTTGCCGAAAATCAGGTAATTCCAGTGATATACTTTCTTAAGAATTATAATAGTTAATAGGTAATTATAATTATAATAGTATATTATTTTATTAGAAAAAAAAAAAGAAAAAATTTTATGTAAAAATGGTATGGTATTTCAGAAAGCGCACATTCCGCAGTCAATAATGGATGTCATTCAGGGTAAATCACCTTGCGACATTCATGATGAATTTGACATTGTGAGTAAAAACACTTGTATATAAAGAGTTGATTTTTATATTATCATTTAAAAGAAAAAAAGGAAAAAAGAAAAAAAGAAAAAAAGATAATAAATATATGAACTGATCCAAATAGTTTTTCCTTAAATTTCTTTCAGGCACCACCCGGTGATTATCTGAACGAACAAAAACCAGATATAATGGAAACTGATGTTTCAGAACCAGCTCCACCTGGTTTAGATTAGCATAAACTCATTCCAGTGTTGGGATTTGAATCATCATCAACAGATTGTCCCAACTTTAATGAATTTACCTTGTAAATTATAAATTTTTTTGTTCATATTCAGTCATATCTGAATTGTTCAGTAATCTGAAACGTTAGATCCACGTATTTATCAAATCAAATACGAAATGTAAATATTTTTTATTCGGAATTTACTGAAAATTCAATTAATTTTATAGCTATGACAAACGTCTATTTACTCCTATTTTGTAAATAGAACTTTGCCTACGTGTAAATGTATATACCTACTATCTTCACTATATAGTATGTTCTTATTTACACTTAGATAAATGTAGTTTCGATTTTATATACCACCGATTGAACAACTTTTTGGTATTCCTGTTTTCATGAAAAGATCGAATGATGTTACAATTGATAGTTGACACTTGTTTATTAATATTTTCGTGGAACATGCACATAATTATGAACAAAAAATTCAAAAAGTAACCCATAGGCACAAACTTGTGTATATACTATTTACAAGATTAATAATTACAGTACAGTTTCCTGTACATCCAGATATTTTACTATTAAATCGTCATAATACTGATGCTATGTATATAGGTTATTTTTGAATTATGAATAGTATTTGTGTATTACATTCTATTCATTTACATATATATTGTTTATCACAAACAAGTTACAAAACGTAAGTATAGAAGCTATTCAAATGCTTCTTAATTTTTCAATTGTGCCACAAAATAATATATTTTATATGTGGTGCATATGATAATTTATTAATAAACTAATATATTGTACTATTTTGTTTTATATAAATATTATAGTATGTAAAAATGAATGAAACGTATGTGAAATTTTATACTAAAATCGTAAAGCACGTTAGAAACGTTAATCTATCTTGAAAAATGTTTCAGAATTAAAATAATATATAAAAATTAAACAAGATATTCGTTTACATATTCGTTGATACGTCGAAATTCTTTTGCACATCATTGTAAAAATTTATTAACAATTTTCTTTTGCAATATTTTGCAATGTATATTACAACTATATAATAAAAATACATTCTCATATTTAATTGAGAAAATTAAATATCATCCAAAATCAACACCAGTGTCTAATAGATCACGCAGCATAAACGATGCCTTCTTCGGAAGTATTCTAAAAATGTAAAAAAATTAATTGCAAATAAGACTTAATGCACTTAATAATATTAACATTCAATTTAATTCAATTTACCTAAGAATATGTCCTAAATAAAGTAAATATCCAGGTACACTAAATTCCGCATAATTTCGACGAACACCATCCAAAATTTGTTTAGCTGCTTCTGTGGCAGGCATAGTACCAAAATAACTCGGTATTCTGCCGGAATTAAGAAAAATAAATTTCCGATACAGTGAAATATATTTATTTTATTGTTTACCTAAAACGAATATCTTTTGCTACTTCTGCGCCCACAATGAATGGATAAACGTGAACTAAAGTAATTATGATGTTACTGTTTGAATGCCTTAATTCAGTATGTAATGATTCAGCTAGTCCTTGGACTGCAAATTGTGCAGTGGATAAAGAAACTCTGCTTCCTCCTGTGGCAGTACCAGAAAGACCAGCCACAGATGACAAAACTACTATATGCCCTTTACCAACACTTTCCATACAAGGTAAAACTGTCTCCAATAACTTAAAATAAAATTCATTGTGAAAGGTTATAAGTATTGTAATAAAATATGTATTATGTACGATATTTACCCAGAAATGACTCAGAACTGTTAAATCAATTGTATGCCTTATTTCTGGTGGATCCTGAAGTAATGCTCTAGGACTTGGTATACTGCAGCAGTGGAAAAGCATTGTAACTTCACCTAACTCTGATTGAATAATATTCACTGTATGAGCTACCTATTATATTTGATTTTCAATCAAATCAATGTAGTACTTATTATATGATGGGTATAAATGTTTTATAAATTTTGTACTTACTTCGTTCTTGTCTATTATATTACAAATGTACATTTTAGCAACTCCTAGTGATTTAGATGCTAGTTGTACAGTAACATCACAACTATCAATGTTAATATCTACACAAGCAACGTTAACACCAAGTTGACACAAATGAATTGCTAATTCTCTACCTATGCCTCGCCCTGCACCAACAACCTAAAATCACAATACAATACATGTCAGATTTAATAAATTTTTTATAAACAAAGTAATATAATTTTCTTACCATTGCAACTTCCCCATGAAGATTTTTCAATGGTGGAGGTTTAACTATTCTGTATAGTGCAATTACAATAGCAAAAAATATCCCAAATAAAAGTGTCACAAGATCTAGTATTAGAATAACTAGAGAATACATTCTTAATAACATTTTTGGTGGTTTCAAGTTTCTTCTTAAACTCTCCTATAATAGAAACTTATATTTATCTTCAAATTATTAAATTAATTTATTACATTTGTTCAAAAATATTTTATTATTATAGTGAGTTATTAAAATGATTTCATTTCTTAAACGTTATAAATTTAGAATGGTTAATAAATTTTTCTCTTTAATTATATATATTTATTGTAACACTTACCATTTTGTTGGGTAAAGTAATAAATACAGTTAAAAATGTGACCGTGTCACGGAACAATTTGAATTAATTAAGCGGGTGAAAGAAAATTTATTGGATCTAAAGATATTTATATTTTATATCAAATTACGTCGTGACTTTAAGATAACATATCATGACATTACGAAAAGAGAAGGCGATGCCACTCAAAATTTATTTAAACTAGTTCATATTGATATTAAGAAATAATATACATTTTACGATGAATGTAATAAAAATTACTAATTGTTAAATTTTATAATACATACCACGGTATTAATTTGCTTTTCAAAACTTTCAACCACCGTTACTTTTGTTTCTATGCTGTTTTAAATAGACTTAAATAAAATAATTTCAATTTTGATGTACTTTCAATTAAGAACAACTAACGGTTAAAGAGGATAATCCTAAGACCATAAAAAATTTGATTTATTTAACCTTTTAAATGCTTCAAATTGCTTGTCTTATAAATTTAGCAACTGCAATAAATTCAACAGTATATTAATATTTCATTAGTACAAATAATTATACAATTTGCTATATAATCTGATAATAAGATATAATTAAAAATTGTATTTATTTTATATTTTACTTCGGTTTTCAAATTTATAACTAGATAATCGATCCGTATCATAAATATGTATCAAGCGGGCATTAAATACATTTGTCATTTTCAGACGATATAATTACAATAATAACAATAATAAAAAAACAAACATTTTATTCAATATTTACGTTGAGTCGAATTATTTTTAAGGATATGCAAATTATAATAGTTATTTTAAGAATAAATTAAGTAATTTTGCTTTCCCTATATTTTATATCTTATTATATTGAAAAGTTACTATTTATGTTAAAAATTAAAGTATAATTTAAACTTCGCATTTTTTAATATATGCAATTAAAACTCGCGTTTCATACCAATGCTTACTGCATCCGAATGCTCACGAATCAGGTTGTCAGCAGGGTTGCCAATAAAGTTGCCAGAAAAAAAAATCACGAAGACCACACGTCTCACGTGCTTGTAATCATCGCGAACAAATTATTCCCCTACTTTTCATTCGACTGTTAACGAAGCTAATCGATGTAATGTTATTAATGTATGGTATTTGTTGTATCACACGTGGTATCATATTATCACGTCGTGTTGCTAGGCAACTAGGCGACGCGTTATCATCAGCCAACGACTTAGTTTCTACTAGTAGGGAGAGAAATATTTAGTCGCCCCTTTAAAGTCATTTTTTCTGTAAATTCTGTAGGCTATGTTACCTTACGTACACAACATTCCCCTACTTTTTATGCAAAGATAGGAGAAAAAAGGCAAATGTAGGGGAATAATAAGTCCATACTCTGCATGCCGTGTCCTTAGATCTGACGTGTGTGTCATGCATGTCATTCCCCTTTCCGCGACCTTTTGCTGTTGTTTCATCAAAAAAGTAGGGAAATTTTCTGCACTATTGGTAGCTGTGTCTGCTGGCTGTTACAAATGTCTGCTTTATTGATTGAGTAGACAATTATATAAAAGTTGAGGAAAGATTGAAGTTTATGTTGCTTACATTAAAAAATTAAGTCAAAATGTGGTTTATGGTTCTTCCACCATTGTTTATAATAACCGCATGTGTGGCTGCTCCATCTTATATAGCAAATTTTATGGCTAATAAATGGACTGTAAGTAATTTTTATAACATAACCCCGATATTAATACGATTGATAGTATTAGTTTAGATTTTAAATAATTTTTATCTCTTTTTTCTTTCAAGGTAAAATTTGCATTTATTTAAAATAAAATATATAACTTAATCATTGAAAATTTCTATACACACAGCACTTGTTATATGAATACATTTTAATTGATTCAATTTAATAAAATACATTCAATTGTTTCAGTTTATTCTAAATAAATTATTATATATACAATCTATATTATATGTATTCCTCGTCATTTTTTTACTGTTTGACATTACAGGGACGAGCATACAGAATGGAAAGTTTTCTAGAAAATTTAGGATTTTCTAGGGACTTGGATGATAAACGGGTATTGCTTGTAAGTAGTCATACAATATTGTAATTATTTAATGATTCATTATTTTTTGTAACAATACATTGTTAACATTATTTAAGTTCAATTAATATTTTGAAATTTATATTTAATATAATTATTTTCTTTTTTAGGATTGGGATGCTCTTCCAGATAAATAGGATCATACGTATAATATTGTATAAAAAATAACTGTTATTTAAATAAAATTGTTATGTGAACATGATATAACATAACTAGAAATATTGTAACATGGGAAAACAATAGTTTCTAATTTATTAGTCCTCTTTACTATAAATTTATTCGAAAGAATATTATTTTGATGCTTTTAATACAATGATCGTATTAAGGCCATCAAAATTGTAAATTTAAAAGATAAATATATTTATTATTTATAAATTTCGTGAATATGATTTCTGTTAGAAGTTTCAACTATAAATCTTTATCATATTGCTCTAACAAAAACTACTGAAACAAATGAATATATGTGTTTTTCTAATATTATTTAATATTTGAAAAGAAAAATAATTCAATTCAGAATTTGTATTTTCATTGAAAAGAAGTACTTTGAAATGCTTTAATAATTTCAAATCTGTTAGTGCAATGAAATTCTTTGAAAATAACAATTATGCGAAGGACTTAAATTTTTTCATTGTTGGATATTTAAAATGAAACAAAGTCAAGTAAAAAATGAATAACAGTAAAGTTCTGATTGACGATATTATTTGTTTTCACGTTATAAAACCTACCGAATCTTTTGGAAATATATAGTTCTACTACTTATGTATAAACAACGTACAAAAATCAGCTGAAGGAAGCATGAAAGATGTAATAAGTATCCACAAATATCCTTTTTCACTAGTAATGGCAAAACAAAACAAATATAGTTAACAGTGTATATCACTGGACTACTTGAACATTGACATCCAAATCGAGATAATATATCGATCTTCGAAAAAGAGAAAATATTTATTTAATGTTAATTTCTTAAAATACATAACGAAAATAAAATTATGTTTCTTTAACAACTGTTGGTAATAATGTTTTACTAAACTTTTAATATTTTTTACAAATTATATTCTATCCGAAACATTTCATTCAATAAATAAAAAGCTATAACGGATATAAAAGAAATAGAGATATCATTGTACCGATCAATCGATCACTATACACGTCAGGATACATCTTTGCTTCGAGATAGAAGCACTTAAAGTTGCCAGGTACTTCGGTTGAACGGATCTTAAAACGTTTGCCAAGTCGATATAGTAGATCCGGTCACGAAATCAGCATTTATCGATTGCGCTACTCACCTTTGGTTCGTTTACTAAAAATTTTTTCCTATGAATCGACATTGATCCATCTGTTTGAAAAGTTATTGTTAATAACTTTCTCGTATGATTTCTAACGTATTTAGCAATAACAATTTCTTTTATCACGTACTGTACTGTTACTTAGAAGGTTAATTATCTGTCAGTTTTTATCCGTAGTGTAAAGCCTACCTTTAATTTCAGCAGTAATCATAAGAAAACTGATAGAAAAATCGGTCCTGCTCGAGATATTACTCGAGCCTTTAGTACGGCTTTAAATCTAAGGTCTTCGGTCTGAACGAGCGCCTCGCAGTCTAGTGCGAGACGTCGCGCAAGTAACATCGCGTTTTATGTCGCGTCCCTTTTCTTCACGATTTTTCTGTGCGATCTCTCAACGACAGTTTTTTCAAGTTTTTATCGATATACAACCCCGAGATTCTTCAAGATTATTCCGCAAATGATCGAGAAAAACGTAACGGGCGAATGATTAATTTGTTTACGCGGGAATTGTTAGAAAATCGGGTCGAATTCGGATCATATTTGTTTGATAATTTCGACCCTTCGAGCGTTCAAAACAAATAATTCGACGAAAAACAACGATATATGCGAGCAGTATAGACAGTCAAAAAATATCCTCGAATCGTTTTTTAAGTTACAAAGAAGCGTGGATATACTGCAACAAGTTTTCGATAACATCGTTGCTACTGTTTTCTGTTTTCTCTTCTGCGTATTATACTTTTTCGGTTCGGTTATTCGTTTCGTAACATATTGAAAGAAAGCAGTTGAATAAAGCATATTTGGTGCAAAGTGTATCGACGAAAGTTTCGGTCGGGGTCCGCAGCCAACCTGTTAGTCATGTGGGAACGGTAAAAACCGTTCAGGCAGGAACTCTGGAAGAGCAGTTTCTCGGAAACGACCGTCAGAATGGTAATAACGATGTAGTGAAACCTGCTTCTCGCTGTTCAGCAAGGATACGCGTTGCTTCGACGATCGTCCCTTTGATCGTTCGTGCACTGTGATGTTCGTTTGCCGGGTTTGCAAACGGTACATTCTTACATGTACGTACATGATGATATCGTGGCCGAAAACGCAACGTTCTCGCGATATTTCCAAGGCAACGTTCTAAAACTATTGTGGATGAAGCAAGGGAAAAAAGAAGAAATTATTGGAAAGATAACGACGAGTCATTTGTCTATGAATCATGCAACGATCTCGGAACGTTTCCGAAGGATGGAGTCGGAAAAGGACAGGTAAGCAAAACGCAGAAATTATCCCCTGTTTTTTCGACCGGTTTCCACGCGTTGTTTTTCATTCGCTCTAAGCACGGAAGAGCACAACACGACGATCTATTTGTTTATCCTTTTCTCATCTCAGTTTATGCGTTGCACAAAGATCGATGTCGTTTCGTGATATCCAGGACAAAGCGTATCGCGTCGCAAAAGGAATTGCGACTCGTCGTTTCACGAAAAATCGATCGACCTTCCCTCTATGTTTGCGCGACATTTTGCAACCGGTTCGACTCGCGAGTTCTTCGTTCACTCAGAATTTAACATCGCGATGTGCAACGATATTAATACCGATTGTCATTTTCGTTCCAAGGTTATCTTGTTTTTAACTATTTTAGTAGCTTAACTTACCACTTAAGCGATACTGACTGCCAATACTGACCGCGATTGCTTTCTAACCTAAAAATCAGAGAGATCGTTCTTTCCACGACCCGTCGAGTTTGGGGATGTGAAGCCATGGTCTGTAAATTTGCACGGGTAAATATTTAAACTACATTATATGAACGCGAGGAAGGCGAAGCGGATTTGGACGCTTCCGCGAGATTTTTGCGTGCGACAAGCAACGAAGATCGGATCGAGACCGAGTTTAAATTACTTTTCCACCGAATGGGAAGCGGAGCGGAATCCGAGTGTTATCGGCGAGAAAGCTAATCTCCGTTCTTGAACGTTGATAAATCGTACTCACGGCACCGTTCTGGCCGCGCTTTTTCTAGCTGTAGACGACTGTTGTCTTCCAACTGGTCGTCTGTTATGTAAACACACGTTTGTTTCTCGTGAACGCGCAAGAGAAACAAATGTAACAACCTGTCGATAAAAATGAGAATCGATAAAAATGAGAAAATACCACGAAGCTAAGATGATATATATATATATATACATGTATAATTAACCAACTCGATTCGAAAAGAAGTTTCTTCGAATCAACGAGAATGAACGTTAAACGACAACTTGTAGGCGAATTCGAAGCAGCTGGATATATAACGACAATCTTTTAATTAAAATAATATTCGACCGTAAATCGTGTTTTCGCCCCTGTTCATCAGATTCGCGCGCGTAATTAAAATTTTCATCGCTTTGAATTTACGTACACGTGTATACCTTTACGTTTATATATGTTAAATATTAAATTCGCGGCACGCGTGAGCTTTCAGGGCTGCAGGTGGGAGGAAGATTCGTTAACCCTTTAACAGTCCTAGCGCCTGAACCTGACACACACGCACTCGTAACGTATCTTTCACCTACGTGCACGTATGACTTGGGAAATTTTGCACGCTCTTGACACACTCGTCATACGATATAACAAAACTAAAAATCATAACTTTCCTCTTACACTGATAAAAGAAGGTACTCTTTATCGAAAAAGTAGCTCTGATGGAAAAAATAATTAAAACCATATCATTAATACGTTGTCTGTGATATGAAGGAAGGTAAGACAGCGAAACAAACGAGGAAAGAAACGCAATTATCTATCTACTCTACTTCTTCGAAATGTACCTAGACGTGTACGCGAGTAGTTACAATTACTTTTTAACATTTTCCCAATGAAAAGAAGTTTGTTCGTTTCCATCGTAATTTCGTTTCTGGATTCCATTCTAGATCCTAGATCAACTCTGGAAGAAAAAGAAATAGATACATATTTTCTGGCCAGATTTCGTGAAATTTGTTGGACTGTTAAGAATTTAATTTTTATCTACCATCAAACACTCGCTTCCCTCGTAGATGAAATCCGAGAAGTATGCTCGCAGCTTTTCCAGAAAATTACATGACTCTGTACGCCAGTTGAGGGTGGTTTTTTCGTTCGAGCTGTAGGAAAACATGCATTCGGCCGGTTGTTTCCCCATCGTTTGCGCGATAACTAGAACAGAAAAAGCTACCGGAATATCGTTATCGGATTGTTCGGCAACTCGGAGCTTTCTAATTTTCGTCGAGCAAGAGGAACACTGGGAACTCGACGCGACGCAAGCTCATTAAGTCGTCGTCGTAGTTATACTTGTACATATAGTGGATAAAAGAGGTTTTGGCACACTATGTTACAAGAAAATACACCTAAGCAGAATGTATTATGTATAACAGATTATACATGCAACAATCTTTTTTCTCACGTGATATCGCTCCAAGCAGATGAAATCAACGATTGAAATTGCAGCGCTCTTTTCGCTCTTTTCAAATATAACTTCGTAATAGTACAAGAGACAGGGAAACTATTTATACAAGAAAGTTCAATTTTTAATACTACTATCGCTCTGTCGTGAGAAAGATTCCGAAGAAAGATTATAATCAGAGCATGAAAAAATACTGGAACTTTAAGGGTCTATTTGGCTCTCTTAAAAAGTTTTCCCGCTCATGAAAAAAATTGCTGCACGCAGAACTCGTTATGCTCTACACATGCTCAAACTTTCTGGTTTGATGAATTTCCTTGTAATACAGCGTGCTAATACTTTTTTTGTCCGCTATATGTAAAGAGTGGCAAGAACTTGCGCTTCGGTGCAGCCTTCGGATCGCTTGACTGCTTCGCGCGCTCTGTTCGAATCGTTTGGAACAAAGGGGGTTTCCAGCATCGTATCGCAACGCATGCCACGCACCGCGTATTTAAACACATAATTAAACGACATTGCATCACGGATAAATGCAATAATCCTTGCACATTGGCCAGTTTCCCATTCACGGGGAGCGCTTTGCGAATAATTGCTTTCGCTTCATTGTGCAACACGATCGGTTCACGTTGCGCGCTCCGACGACCCCCTCTGCTGCCATTGTCTTCGAACGCGTTCGCAAAACCGGACCTATGCTTTTCCTTCTCCGGACGCCGTTTCTTCCCTTTTTAAAATGATTCGACCTCGCAACCATGTTTCGTACCCCGTCGTGTCCCGTCCGAGTAGGCAAATCGTAGATCGACTCTGGTTTGGCGGCTACTCCATACTCGTGCAACGTCAACCGACTTTAGTGAACTGATTACTAATTGCATCGAGTGAGTTTACAGGTGGATGCAAAAAATTCTTGTCCAGTCATCTCAAGTCAGTCCCAAGCAATACATTCTTGCAAGATTTATCATGACTTCGCGTGTCTTCCGTTTCGTAGATCTAAGTGCATAGGCAAAAACGAGAAAAAATATGGATTCAGCAAGAGCCCTTCTTTAAGGGTGAAAATACAATTATTTAGCTGAATCATTCTTACATACGTATAGCTGAAGGACCACCCTTCGATGCCACGTAGGAAGATATAAGCTAATCTAAAGATATAGTGCAGCCAAGCATGCCAATTTCAACAGAAAACGTGATCATCCTAAAACAGACATCTTTTCTTGTTTTCAAAGCTTCTGGAAAGAAATTCTAGATAATTCATGGTAATCCGTGTACACACCAAAACTTACTTTATGCATATGAGAATGTATAGTTGAAATTAAAAATTCTGTGGATCTTCAACTACGTCGAAAAATTGACTTTTGTTCGCGTTTTGACGAATCCGGACCACTCTCGTGTCTCTCCTCCATTCTTCTTCTCGATCGGCCTCGAATTTAAGCGCACCTGGAACCAGTTGAAGCAGATGTTCTGTGGATCTTGTTGCGCGTGAAATGTCCTTGGTCTTTTCACCGTAAGGAGCTACATACATACGTACCCTTCTGTCTCGTCTTCCCTCTGCTGCTCCTCTCTTCCCTTCTTCTCTCGAATCGTTTAGCAAGGGTATTTTATGTATCAATACCAAACGAATTCCTAGAAAATTTCCAGCGAGATGAAAACTGATTTCAGACGACGTTCTTGTGCTCCGTCGATTATGCTTATACTTACGAATTCTCTCGAGAGTAAGCGTTCTTCTTTAATATTTATAATTTATTCATTTGTTCAGTAAATAGGAAGAAACCCTGTAGTGCAGAAGTAGTATTTTTCAGTTATTGGTAGTCAAGTCAGGAATCAATTGACGCTTAAAACAATTATACTGTGAAACGATATCTAATGGTACGTATTGTACGTCAAGACTCATAATTACGCGATTTGAACAGTTATATTCGGCATAATATAAACCTTTATATGCTCCTGTTTTATCCCGTTTAGTTGTCGAATTGGATCCTTTTGTATCGCGAGCCATTCGCTATGTCGAATCCATGGGACCATTTGGTAATTTCGTTTTCAGAAACGTGATTTTTTTCAGCGAAATTGTATAGAACTGCGCAATTTTTCTGCAAAAATGGTTCCAAAAATGTTATCGACATTTTCGACTAATATCGTGTAAGTTAATTTTTTTGCATAAATAATAAAGGAAAATTCGTAAGAACTTTTTTACCTGTCCTTCCATTCTTGTCCAATTTGTTTGTCGAACGCTTTCGAGTAGATATCTTTTATAATTGCGTATCGTTGACCGATCGAGAACGCGTGCTATCGACACGATTGACGCGTCGTAAACCGTGTTGCAAGTTACTCGAACGCGATGAAATAACAACCCGACCACGGATCGAATCAACGGTATTCCGTTTTCGTTCCTTGCGCACGAATATTTGCTCAGATATTTACGCGAAGGGCCTTAAAATGCATTTCGAATGAACAAGGTCGGCAAGTACGCATATTTTAATCATGGCGAAACGAATGGCGTTGATTTAAAGTATCGTAATTACCAATGGGATACGTCTGTCTTATTAAAATTCCATCAGCGGCCGAAAAGCTTCCATTTAACCGTAAAATCGCATCACGTTTGGTTTCCCGATGAAAACGACTCCTTTCCGATGATATATTATCACGAAAATATTATTGCAATTTGCGCATGATTATAAATACAATGTCTACTATACGTTCCTCTTTCCATCTGCGTTTCATTTCCTATTCCCCTGTTTATTTTCCATTTGGCCATTTTCGAATACGCATCGCGTTACAGCAGTGACGCGCCGTTTCAACAGCGAAACGAACAAACGCGCAGGAAAGTGCACGTTTTTCCGTAGACAGGCTACCAACGCGCAATCGATTTCGACGTGGATGACCGTCGAGTATCCTCGATCGCGATCCCCGGTTATTTGATAATTACTGCGAATACGAATTTCACGGCGTCGGCTACCTAACCTTCCGATCATTCATCGTTATTAACCGAGTGAAATCGAAATCGAAATCGAAATCGACTCGCATTATAAAATAGATCGCGACGATTTTACCGAAGATAGAAGTGCTTTTCGTTTATTATCGGAACGTTCTCGACGATAATTCCATCTGCCGCGCTGTGTGTATTTAGACGATAAACGAGTTTGCTGTCATTATAACCGATCGTGTCGTTAACCTGCAAAACTTGGTCTTCGTTCGCGGCAGGATTTTCCAAAATCCATAAATGCAGTGGCAGCCGACGATTAGCTGTAATTAAAATGCCTTTCCGTATCCGCTTTCTCCGTTGTTGGATTATCTTATATTGCCCGCGGGTGAAAAATATATTTTGTTTCTGTTTACTACATCGTACGATTCTGTCACCCTGCTAGTCGCTTGCAACCCAACCTAACAACGTGCACGAGTCACATGATCGTCTTCCAATACATCAGAACGAGTAATCGCAACGCGGGTATACGCGAATGATATATATATATATAAACGCGGGGCGAAGGATGAAAATCATTCGAAAACAAAGGGAAGTTGATTCGACTCGCGTTCGAAGAGAGAGATACGTTTCTCTTAACGATGGTGGAACGGTCGAGGGTCGACGGTGGTTGGATTGCATGCAAAGGGAAGGGCCAAGGGTGGGGGGTCGAAGCCGTTGCGGAGACCGTTTCCAGTCGTTCCCCTGTTCCCTGTTCGCTCGTTCCCTCGTTTAGAAACACATCGGGAGATAGAGGGAGGCAGCAGCAGCAGCTTCGAAGCCGCCGTGTCGGAATCGATGTTCCAGTTAAAACTGCACACGGCATGTTAATGAGCGTTAATGGAAGACTAACGCGGCCACCGAGAGCTACGGAAACAAGAATGAAAAAAAAAGGGAGTAAGAGAGAAAAGGAAACTATACCGGCAAGTTGGACGCCAGCGAAGGAATAATTACGTAGTTCCCCTCGACGACACTGCTGCTCTCGGGGCTGCATTCTTCCTGAAATTAGCGGGAAATTTCATTCCGGAAGTTACGGATACGCGCGACGGGCGAGAGCAACTTGTGTATCGAGTTAGCGGAGGCTGGCAAGCTGGCGCAAACGAGGCCAGGCGTGATCGTTACCGATTTCCTTCTAGCGTACTAGCTTTTTCACGCTGCACAGGACTCGCGTCGCGATTTTTATTTCCATTGCGAACCAGCAGCTACGCGGCCGTCTACCTCTGCTCGCTGCAATTGCACACACAAGCACTCGAAATTCGAGTCGAAGCTAAACTAGTTTTATCGAACCGAGTCGAGAATGTTGGATTTACGTCGAGATATCGCGAGCCCTTTCGAAACTCCACGCGAATTCTAACCTGCTTCGCGCGAAAATGGCGCGAAATTTGCTCCCTTGCGAAACCGGAACTTTCCATTATTATGAATATGCATCCCGCAAAGAGAGGAGTCAAGGTGCCTTTTTCGATGGGTGAAAGAAGCCTGACGAGCGGACTTGTAGTCGAGGCGTTTTACGAACGCGAGCCACGACTGCCGGCCAGTTCGCTATATTATTTTATCGAAGTAAATAACTAGCACTCGTGGAAGAGAGGATTTTTCTCCCTTTTCAACGGTATAAACGCACCCCGTCCAACGTGCCAATCGAAACATCGTGAAAAACGAGCACGCCGTTCCCAATCAGTGGCGTACTGTTCCCCCCGGGGCCCTCGATCAAAATAACGAACGCAATAAGTTTCTTAGAAAAGCCTCTCGTTTGCCTAACTGTGCCTCGGGCAAACTACATCGCGTCTTCTTGAATACGTGATTGCGCGTTTCAAGGCCGTTGCATCGTTAGAAATGCAACACGATCCGACATCGCGATGATCCGACGCCGCGATACATCTCGGTAAGTCGATCGATCGTTCGCAACTGTTGGCAAACTGCGAAACAACGACGCGTCACGTGATCCTTCAGGTTTTCGTCAGTTGTCGTTCGTAAGCGCTACGATCGCCTTGTATCGAACAGTTTCGTCTCGTTCGCGAACTACCGTGGGCTATAATTTCCATCGATTCGTTAAGTACGACCCCCCTGGCTTCGACTTTACAGCAGGAGGAACTTTTCTACGATCCCCGGAGTTCGTGCTCTTTTTCTCTGTTCCCCGGAGAGAATGCCGAAGGAAAGGCTCAGAGGCGAATCACCTTTTCCACTCGCTTTTTAGGGTTATAGTTTCTTTGACGAGGCCAATGAACTTTGTACCTTGATTCATTTCTTCCTGTAGATACATCTCGTTAAATCGACCTATCACAAAGCCGCGTAGTAGCGTGAACGTGGCCGTACAGGATTATCCAGCACAATGTTCGAGATATTTCGTCACTTTCGCGATCGGTACGCGTAGCCCAAGGACCTTGTATGTACCGCGTAAACCGTTCTCTCGTCGATGTGCGTAGCGGGAATCGTGCGTATCGTACGATACAATTATTTCGAAATTAATTCGTAACCGCGATGTCCCCGAATGTTATCGATTATTCGTTCGAGCAAAAATAGCGATTCTGTCGAAACCGCGGTGAGTCGCACGGCCATGACGGTCCAGACTACAACGCCGTGGGTGGATATAAATCGAATTAAAAGAAATCCGGGTTTCGCTTAGTCGTCGCATCGCAGTCGTGGCAGTTGGTAATGTAAGCGGAAGAAGTCGAGCTCGATTTCTTCTACCTTTGCCTAAATTTAGCCAACGAGCGTGCTTCAATTTAATCCGCTCTTCTTGACCCAAAAGCGTTTCCATCTTCGTGTAAAAGACCACGACGGAATATGGCGCAGCAATAACTATTAATGGCCCGTTAAAAAGATGAAACTCCCTTCAGCCGCCGCAATCTCGTTACTCTATTCGAAAGACCCTCGCTTTGTTTCCAAGCGAGCGTTCACGGTGTTTGAGTATACATACATATTTCGAAAGTGTGATCAGCCTCGAAGGTTGCTTAATATATTTAACGGTGCGCGAAATTCTTTCGCTCCGCGTTTCGTCTATTTCTTCGCGCTTCGTGCTTTTGAGGTTAGAATCGATTTTTCTCCAAGAATCTCGAGTATTCTGGCGGATATTATTCTCCTCGGCCGGTGATCGTTTAAAATTTTAATCATCGTCCTTGCTTCGAGTTATGCCGGCTCGTGCAGTTTCTAACAAATATCGGATTACGTTCTTTGTTCGAAACGGCATTGGACAGGATCTCATCGGTCGTTCCAAGGAACGTTTCGTCGCAT